AGACTAAGAAGAGGAACAGGGTAATGGCTGACCACCATGGCCGGTCGCCATAGAGAGAGAGAGCAGGGAACAGAGAGACGGGGGAGCACAGAGAGAGACAGACAGAGAGAGAGAGAAAGAGGAGTAAAGGGCAGGAGCCTATCTTTTAAAGGGGTCCTCTGCACCTGTGTGCAGACTTCTTTCCCATGGAACCTTGGGCTGACCAGGGTATTGCCTGAGTGGATTCCACCAGGTAACAGGGGCAGGCCAGCATAATGCCTGAACCTTTCAACAGGGTCAGGCGAAGAGGGCCAGCTTTAGTCCTAAAGACCATGACTGGGGGTACCTCCACCTTTGAGAGTATCAGAGGGATACCAGATACTCAACTGTCACTTCCTCAGATTCAGAAAAGCATTTACACCAACCAGAGGGGAAACTTACTGAATTGCCACTGGTGGATAGGATTTCAAGTGATAAATGAGCTATAAGGTAAATCTATTGTGTGGTGATGAGTTGAGGGATATGGTCCCATTGCAGCTCAAACCCAGAGGTGTAGACAGCAGGAGAGCCTATCTGAGGGAGCATTACAGCTCTGAGGGGAAAGGCTTCTCCAATGGATGTGTTCAGCTCTGAAGGGAAAGATATCCCAGCCATCAGGAGCCAAGGAATACCACAAAGTCACACCACACAACAAACTTCACACAAGAGATTTATTGGGAGAGACACAAAAGGGTGGCTACCCCTTCTCAGGAATGAAGTAGCAGGGAAATGATCACGAGACAAGGTAATATATGGCTTGGGGATGGGTGAGTGGGAGTTTTCAAGGGTAGAAATTTCCAGGGAGCGGATTGGTAATATTTCAAGCCAAACCCAGGGACTGGTAAGATTTTCTGTTTATGGATTTGTGGAATATTATGCTCAGGGACTGGCAGTTTTTGGTAACCCATAAATGGGCTGGAATCTTTTACCTTACAGGGAATCTACTACCATCGTTTTACTTAACAATCATTTTGTTCCCAGCCTTCATCAGAGAAGCTTCTTACTATAGTGAGCAGCACCTATTGCAGAAAACCATAACTGACCTAAGTGCTGAGAAGAGGTGATAGTGGAGTGCTGGCTCTAAAATTGACAGCCACATCACCATCTCCCAGGTTCAGGGAGCATCTTAGAAGAAAGGTCAGAAGAATCACAGGTGAGGAGATATTTAGCAAAAAGATGTCTTCTGAACATGGCACAACCATTTCACTCAGGAACTCACCACTGCTGTTATCTGCATAAGACCAGCACACACTCAGGTGCATCTGTGGGGGACCAAAATCTTTCTGCTATGGAATATTTTGAGATCTGGCCTTTGGTTTCACTGAACAGGAACACCGGAAAGCTCGGGCCCACTATTGTTAATGCCAGTAGGGCTACTATTGTTTACAATAGCCTCAGGGTAATATGCCTCCTAATCTGCATCTGTATGTGCCTAAGCATCTGAATAGGCCCTCACCTGGGCGGAGGTGCTAGAGGTGTGTGAGTAACTTGTGAGGATGGAAGGTTAGGAGTTAGGGGCGAGCGGCCAGAGCAGAGAGGGAACAAAGAGAGAAATGATTCCCTCGTGGTGTTGGCAGGATGGTTAAGAAACACCAGAAAAGATGGCTAATAAAGAAATGACTCTAGTTCTACAATATGGAACTGAGAGCTCTCTGAAGATGACAAGATGCCTATGTAACCCTCTCATCCTAAGGTTCACAGATGCTGGAAAAAGGACTACTTGGGATAGTCCTAAAGTCTGGGGACTCGGCTGCACCGAGCAGGGAAAGATCCGGTGACCTTATTCTCCCTGTACAGACAAATTACTCCCCTAAGCCAACAATCAGTCGGGCCAAACACAGTAATAGCGGACCAGAGAGCCCCAACCCAATTTCAAGTCCCTGAACCCCCTACCGTTCCTAAAGCTATCACTCCTACACCAGGTGCTGTCACCTTCTCCCCCACCCCAGATGCCCTAAACATCGAGATAACCAGAGACCCTCCAGGTACCGGAGATAGATTATTACAATTAATCCAAGGAGTTTACCAAGCCTTAAATTTTTCAGACCCCAACAAGACTCAGGAATGCTGGTTATGCCTAGTTTCTGGGCCCCCATATTATGAAGGCGTGGCAATACTGGGCAACTACTCCAACCAGACCTCAGCACCTACCAGTTGTGGAGCTGCTATGCAGCACAAGCTCACAATATCTGAGGTCTCAGGAAAGGGGCT